CCACGATCTTGAAAAGACTTTTCGTGAAGAATGGGCTAACCTCTAGAAAAGAGAAATTTCCAGACTGGTAGAAAGTATGCCGAGGCGTCTTCGAGATGTAATTAAGGCAAAAGGAGGACGCGATATTGAAATGTTAATTAAAAATCTACAACAAAATTAAAACGAATGTGTAGTGATTAGTTACCGTTAATCGATAATTATTCTGAAATCGTGACTCCAGACCGCATCTCACGATTTCTGAATAATTAAAACAAATGTCATCTTTCCGTCTGTTCAAATTTTTTAATTTTATTTTTCATTTTCCTTAGAAATTTACATTTCTTTTTCACTTTTTTAGACAAAGACTCAATTTGTTAAAAAACGTGAAACTTTGATTAATATATAAANTAAACAAACAATATCATTTGGAAGAGGATTAATAAGTGTTGACATTCATACAAATGAGTAATCCTGTAAACGTAAACAGAATATTTTATATAGATTTTTTTTAATGAAAACTTAAAATCCTGCATTATTTTCCGGACAACCCAATAATATAATAATAAACCCTAATAACTATACAATCATACTAATTTACAAAGAAAAAGAACTATTGATCACAATTGAATTCCCTAATTAGATCATGACGATACGACCAGGCCTGTCGAGCGAATCTGATCAATCGCAAACTGTTCCTGTCATATAGAAATTCAATTATCTGGGAGCCTGCTGTGACCTGTATGGGGATATCTAAATTCCAAGAGGACGGGACTAAACCCAAGAAATGGATCACATCCTCTCTTTACCTGAGATTACAAAAAGCACAGAGGGATAACTCTCTTTCTCGCCACGGAGTGTAGTTAAGAAAGAGCAATTCGCCTTTTAATTTAAAAAACCAGCTCAGCTCCGCGGGCGAAAGTTCTGCATTTTTTGAATTAAGAGACAGCAATTAAGGGTACTGCAGACATTTATATAAAAGAAAACGGTTAGACTGTCGAGCCGACCGCACACACTTCCCAGTAACATTCATCTATCCTTTGACGTATGACCACCAACTGGGCACACCATTTATCCCGATCCTGGAAGTTAGAGTCAAAAAGGCACGAGTACGTTTCCGCCAAATTAACCCAGTGCTTAAACCAGAATGTTTTTTTCTTGATAACCTAAATGGCTAGAGAACGAGAAAGACGGTGAGCAGGCCAGATTCTAATGCAATATCTAACATGGATACCGAAGGTGAAAACATGAACCAGAGAGTCTCAATAGAAATCATGTAATTTGGTGTTATGAGGGGGGGGGGTTCCCAAACAACTTTTTGATAAAGAAACGTTGAAATGTGTCCACCAACTCCTGTCGTTGAAACCCCGAACACTGGGCACTATAGCACACAATTGAACGACAAACCGCTTTGAATAAGCTATATTTGGTGGAAGGAAAGACTTTACTGTTAATAATGAGGGCCTTCCAAAAACGATTTATCCCAAATTTAGCCGATGATATCCTCTCCGTAAAATACCGACTCATTGACAGACCTTTATATTTGTACTGGTTAACGACTTAAATAGGATTGCCTTTATATTTCCATTTCTCATTAGCAGCAAGACAACCTCCTTTCCTGAACACCACGATCTTAGACTTATTTAAATTGACTGTGAGGTTCCATAGATCACAATAACGTTCTAGGAGATTTATTTCTTGTTCTGAAGATTAAGCGGGTCTTAAGCTAGAAGAAGCACATAATCTGCTTGCATCAGGATCTTCACAACTGTTCCCGCCACTCTGACACTTCCCTCAAGTGTTGCAGGAAGGTCGTCAAGAAAGAGTGAAAATAATAAGAGAATGAGCAAACAACCCTGATAAACGCCCGAACTAACGCTGAAAAATTCAGACACACCCTGCCTGCCCCTTACTGCCGACAAAGGATCACGATAAAGGCTCTTCAAGGTATTAATGAATTTATAAGAGATCCCCAAGTTAAAAATTTGAGAATTAGAGGCTTCCGATCGACTGAGTCGCTTTGAAGTCGACAAAAAAACAATAAACATTCCTTGCCTTGCTGAGAAATTTTAACTTGATAACATTCATTAGAATTAATTAAGGTTTTTAGTTGAGGTAAAAAATTAATGGCATGAGCGGGATTCGAACCCACGATCTTCGGCTAAATACGCCGCTGCTCTACCACTTGAGCTATCGTGACCTCGATCCACTCGGACATCAATTTCCTATCTTAACCCCACCTTTTGAATTTTCCCTCCGTTTTGCCATTTTTCAAATGTCATTTTTTTATCTCAACTAAAACCTTAATTAATTGTAATATATTAATTGGTCAAGCGGACCACGAAATTAGTGAATTTAACATTCATTAGAATGAACAAATTATCAAAAGTTGAATAAACTTTACGAAAACTCGACTGGTACTCACTAAGGAAAGCATTGTATATAAAGGACTCCAGGCGGCGAAGTAGGAGAGCAGTAAAAATCTTTGTCACCCAATTCAAACAAGAGATACCTCTATAGTTTGACACATCATTAACATTGCCTTTCTTTAGTAAAGGAAGAATAATAGATAAAGCAAAAGATAAGGGAGTATTTTCTGAATCGTAAATCTTATTAAATAAATCTAACAACTTAAGACGAAAATTATCTGGGGAAAATTTTAAAAATTTATATCCTATTCGGTCAAAGCCTGGAGTCTTGTTGCATCTTAATGAAACCAATATTGCATTCAATTCTTTGATTGTAAACGGAGAGTCAAACTCCGTCGAAGGAATAAAAGGTTCGGCAAAGAGAATGCATGTAATCTCTTAATGTAATAGAAGAGCCGCAAGAAAACACCCTACACTTAAGTGTGACACCAACATCCAAAATTCTGTAGCGTTATTAATTAAATTGAATCGAGCATTAAGGCAAGCATACTTATACTCTTTCTTCTTCTTGAGACAAAGACTTATATGAAAAGTTAGCTTGTAGGTAATCCTGCCTTGCCAAATTCGAATCTGTTCTGCAAATTTAGCAAGGAAAACTCTCTTACGGGACTTCAAGCACTGAATGTCAAACCAGAGGGATTTGCGAGTTAAATGTACAACCGATGGCGAGTTCATAGCACCAGGGCAAGAAGATACGATCAGCTGGAGTAAACTCTTCAAATAGTCTTCGTTGTTGGATGAAAAGTCAGGGCGCCCATGAGTGCCTTTCTAAAATAAATGTGTAGACTTCTGAGAGCTTGTGATGCCAGGGAAGCCGATGTGTTAAGGGAATAAAAGTTACCATGATAGGCGAAGATAAAGATATGGATAAAGAGAGAGGGATATTATCGGAAAAGTTAGACTGTAAATTCATTATGCGAAATTTGTTGTTCCTAATGTAAAAAATACATAAAAACATACATACATACATAAAAAATGATTATTAGCGGATTTTGTTTGGCAATGAAGTTCATTGGGGATTTTAGAATCTTAAGGTTCCTGTTCTTGTGTTTCCATTGGGAAAACATGAGGTTGTTGGTTTGTATTTCCTGTTGAAATACTCATGTGTGTGAGTGCTGGATAATGTGTTGTCGAAAAAGAGGACTGTTTTAATTGTGGGAAATTTTTATAATGGTTAGTGTTTTGTGTAAAATTTTGTTTAAAATTTGTTTTGTGTAGATGTTTATATTGATTAGTATTTTGTGGAAAATTGTGCTTAAAGTTTCGTTAGTTTTGAGGCTAATGAGTATGTGGTTCTGGGTTTCATCATTTAATATAAATTAATACCCACAATTGATAATATTATAAACTCTCATTCATAACTAATAGATGAAGACTTATTTTTAATAGGGCGATATAACTTACATATATAAAATTTNCTAAGACCGCACTGAGTGAGTCGGTGCATATGACATATTGGTTGCACCCAATGTGTTCAGTTTCACTCAGCGCGGATGACATGGCGGTCAACTCTGCGGTAAACATACTTGCAGCCTTTGGGAGAGGAATTGTTTTGGTGTGTTTTTCCCAGCATACTGCATATTATTATTATATTGTTATATTCTTAGGATTACATTGTTTTGCTTTCCATTTTGAATTATTGTGCTATCGCTCAGAGAACTGTTTTATACATTTGTATTTTTCGTTGTTGTTGACCTTAAGAGAACCTGTTGCCAAGACACAATAAAGTTTTTCTCTCTTTTCTTTTCTTTCTCTCCTTTAATTATATCTATATATCTCCATCTATCTATCTAACTCTCACTCTCTGTCGTTCGAGGAATTGTGCAAAAATTAACTTTTCATTCCATTTGCATTTTATTCCAGGCGTTGTTCGGTTTCTGACGATGTACGTAAAAGTAAAATTAAAAACTATTACACAACATCCCTTGTAATATGTGAGGGCCAATACAGAGTGTGTTATAATATTTTATAGTATATTTTTATTCGTAAAATGGCTCTTCAGTTACATTATCAGTGCGATTGTTTATTCAAAATTATGTTTATTTATTTAAATAAAATATTTGTTCAAATGAAATGATAATTGATTAAGAGCAGTGATTACGTAAAAAATTAATTAAATAATAATGTTCACACATTTGAAATTAAATTTCTGTAACTGCCCCAACGAACCGCAAGAGAGGGAATATATTAGAAAGACAATGATACCAGGGAGTTAATTACCTGCTACTTACCAGCCGGTCTTGGTAGCTGATTTCGTATTTATCGGACAGCATGAGGCTTTAGTCGGCTATAATTGTTTTATATCTATTGTCATGACTGCTGCACTCTAATTACGACAATAATAGTGACAACTGTTTAGTAGATAGAAGTATTATCTCTCTAGTCTCACGTGCTTAACATTCCTTACCTGGTCCCTTACATATCTTGGCAAAACATGCATTTAGGACAAACGAGACAGAGGATAATTCCTTTGGGTGATACTGACGGTTGTTAATTGTTGAATATCAAGTAGCCAACAAGTATAAATAGGGAATCGTGTTTTTTATTCTTCGGTGTTTTTGCGATGGAGAAAATCTTCTACGTTGTCGTATTTGTCGCTGCTATGGCATCATCGGCCTCTGCTTGGTCCATCAAGATGACGAACGACGAGGAATTGTCCAATTTCATATCGCAGGACGACCAGAAGAAGTCTCTCAACGTTATATTTCCAGGTATGCCGGTCGAATATCGTGGTGCTAATTTTGTCTAAAGTAACGGAACCGGCCATTAATTGCTCTCTGTCTTTATTACGACGGGGAAATCCTTGGATGTCTTTGTTTTATAATTCTTACGAATTTGAAAGAAGACTCGATTTACGTTGCAGGTACAAAATGGTGCGGTTCGGGTAATATTGCGACCAATTACGATGATCTTGGAAAAAGCAGTGGAACCGACGCATGTTGCAGGGCCCATGATTTATGTTCGGACCAAGTGGAAGGTGGTGGGACTGCTCATGGACTTAAAAACAAAGCTCCTTACACGCGGTACAAATGATACCTCAATTTCCTTTTGTTTAGTTCTTTGATTAGTTTCCAGCTAGTATAAACAAGGAATAAGTCAAACAAAATCAAGAAAATATGCAGAATTCAAAAAATTACTGGTTGAAGACGATAAGTTTAACATTTATTTTACATTACTAAGTAGAGTTGACATTGTACCTGTTTTATTTTTCTCTTTGGTTCAACAAATTGGTCTAAAAACATTTTTAGGAAATTTAAAAATTATTTAGGTGCCTAAGGTAAATTTGGAGAACTGATAAAAAATGAAATAGCCTTATTTACATAACCTTTTGAGGTTTTGGGTTTTTCATTTGCGATACAATGGCCTGATGTTTAGAAATTTATCCTTCATTGATGACCAAATATTTCAAGGATCTAGTTGTGAGCTAGCATTTGTCTCACATGTTATTCCATGTTATTTCCTCCATGTTCGTTATGAGCCTAAAATATTTATAAATGTCTCAAAAAAATATTAAAGTTGAAAATTGTTTACCATTTTTAAACCCAAAACGATTTTTCATCTTTTCTAATTAATTTACAAATACAATATAAAACAAAAATCTTCAGAGCTATAAAATCTGTCAGAAAACGATATCAGCCTTGGATTCTTTAAGAAAGTGGACATTTTGAATATTTAATATTTTTTTAGAAGCGGTTTGTTTTTCTTAACTAAACAAAAGACTCTTTGGTCCAAAATTGACATAAGAAAAAAAAGAAAAATTTTTCACTGCTGTAAAATTTGTCAGAAAACGATGTCAGGCTCGGATTCTTCAAGAAGGTGGACATTTTGAATATTTAATTTAATTTTTTTGAAGCTTTTTATTTTTTCTTGTTTAATTTTGCACCAAAGAGTCTTTTTTGTTTGCTTTGTATTACTTTCATTATTTTTTAATAGAAAGTTTCCCCGAAAAATAAAGTTTTTATCAATTAAACGTTAATTTTACATTGTTAATAACTGACATATGAGAAATTATGTAAGTGGGTTTACAGCTCATCAGTAGGGGCAACTTTTCTGTAAGCGCCAAATCTGTCAGTATTTACAGAACCAAGAAAATCTTACTTAAAATTTAGACAATATCTTTGGAAAAACGTAAAAGTTTATATTTTGTAATTTGTTGGGTTAGTTTACAATAAAAAATTAATCTTATTTGATTTTTAATGGCCTTTCCATTGATGTAATCAAATTTACAGAAGGATTAATATATTAACAGATAGGGGTCTGTATGGGGGAAAAGTTGTGAAAGGTGGAAGTAACATGAAAGCTGAAATTCTCGAATAAAATTGAGAAACAGGCTTTGAACAATAGGGGCTTTTTTGTCCAATTTGACATGTAGTATAATTTCCTGAAGGATTGATGTCCGTACACGGGACCGCCTGAGTAGCCTAACCCAACTGTAACACTAACACTAGCTCACTAGCACAAAAAATAGTCTTAAAAATTTCCTATCCAATTTCAAAACACGATGCACTCTTTTTGTGTAAAATATAATAATATTCAATAATTACAACAACGTAATTCTTTTATTTTTGAGAGCAAAATAACATTGAAAGGTCACATCACATCAATTATTCACTTGTGTGCCTGTATATTCAAAACAATCGTGTAACTTTTGTTTTCAATTTATCAAATCAAATAACACACTCATTTATTTTAAAAACAGTTCTAAACGTTAAAATGTTAGAGTCAATAGTAATTTTAAAAATGCTGAAATAAGAATGAATTTTATACTTGATACTTGAAAGAGATAAAGAAAAACGCCTGGTACAAATTGAAAAAAATATCTCTACCAATCAAAATATTTAATAGATCTATCCATGCTTAGCATTTGTAGTCTAATTCAACGTGTAATCAGTTTTAATTCATTCACAATAGTAAAACTACATTTTGGAATTTTACAGGCTTAATTGCAAGTGTGACATTGAGTTTTTCAATTGCTTGAGAAATGAAGAAAACCAGGAAGAGACGGCAAAACTAGTAGGAGTCATTTATTTTGACGTACTTCAGACGCAATGCTATAAATACGAGTACCCAGTTGTAAAATGTACACAAAAGTAAGTGCCATGATTAAACATTAAATTTTGCATGTTCAAACCCTTTATTTTTCAGTGGAAAAAATAACCAAAATATTTTTATTTCAGCGTTCTAAAACGATGTTTAGAATACGAATATAACACAACAGCAGACAAAAGTTGGCAGTGGTTCGATGTCCCCTTGTTTTAGAAGATGGATATCACTCTTAACCTGCATCTTGTATTTCTGTATGGCTCCCTGTACCAATTACAAACACATTTCATATTTTTTTAAATGAAATTGTGTTCTGAATAATTAAAACATAATGTTAACACAAAGGAAGTGAGTTTTTGTGACAAGTGATATTAGATTAATAGATTAAATAATACATAAAAAAGCTAATAAAGCTTCACTGTTACTTACATTCCCAGCATTGTGCAATCACTAATAATAATTATGTAATGTTATTACATAAAATATAATTAAACATTAATTGCAATCTGACATTGAACTGTCCTCCCACTTTTAATTCTTAACAGTGCTCATTAGGAGGTCTGTTGAACTGATGCGAGATTTACCCCCAACAATACCCATCTACTCGGACAGCCAGGCGATATTGAAGGCAACTACCTCATCGGTAGTTAAGTCCACAGTTGTTTGGGACTACATCAAGCCCCAGAAAGGCCTATTTAACCTATACGCAAGTCTCAAGTCCGAGTTTTAATCCCTTGCAGGGGAAATTCCAAACTAATGTAACCAAACCAGTGCAAACGTTACCAGAGTTACTTTTTTTCTTACTTTAACTCAGGGGAGAAAGGGATCTCAGTTAATCGTGACCATAACTGGTACCCAGAAAGCTCCGAAACCGAGTATATGTCAAGGAGTTGGTATTTATGGAGATAAACCAAGGACTAAAATTCATATATGCCTTGGGCAATATGCCACCGTCTTTCAAGCGGAGACTGTGGCGATTGAATACAGTGCCAAGGGATTAAAAGGCTATGTATCGGTAACAAGAATAGTCATCCACTCCGACTGCCAGGCGTCATTGAGGGGGAATTACCTCATCGGTGGTAAAGTACAGGATCGTTTGAGCCTGTATCAAGGCCCTGACCGACATTGTGGACAACAACAAAAATTATCCTTGTTTTGGTACCAGGGAACACTGATCTTAGGGCCGATAAATGGACCATGGAAAGTCGATGAGGACACCAATGAACCCGTTTGTGTCATACCAAACTGCAAAATACCTGGATCCATCAGAACAAATCCTCAGTTCAATGGGATTCGAGGAACGCAGGATTGTGAAAAAGTTCATCAAAGGTCCTTCGCAGAAACTAACAGCAAAACTATTATATCAACAGCAAAACTATTATATCTAGGAGGTGTTTGGACTTGAAATTAAAAAAATCATCCCCATTTAAATAAAAAATGTCTGTAACGAACAAGCATTATTGAGAAATATTAAAGTAAATAAATTAATATTATTTAGAAATATTAAAATAAATCCCTGAGGGTTTGATAAACATAAAAAAGCAAAAACGTTGAGCACCCGATTAGGGTTGAAAACATCAATGAGTTCATTGTACCAAAAGGGACTAACAACTTCAACTTGATGACTCAAAACAAAGCAAAATTTGACCCCAATAAAATTAGAACAGAACACTTAAATGCCGTAAAAAAAATGCCGAAACAATTCTTTAAGGAATTGAGTTAATACTATTCCGTTACTGTGCAAAACTACTGGACGTAACCGAACAAAACGAGATGCTGGGAATAACTGAGAGTTATCATATCGGAAAGACAAATCATAGAGGAATAGACGAAACATATAACCAAATAAAAAATAAATGTTATTTATTAAATGTTAAGTTATATTAATATCACCCGGAAGGAAATGGGAGAGTTTCACTATACTCTGGTAAATTTACTATCACACTTTGTTAAATAGGTTGCTCGCCATTGAAGCAAAAGCCTTGAGTACCTATATGGTGTGATGTATTCGAGACACTTTTTTTCTTTTTTTTAATAAACGTTTTTTCTTTTAAAATAGGTAGATTCCAAAAGGATTTCAATATTAGGGAATTAGTTGTTGTTCTATGATTGTCCTAATTGTTAATATATGAAGCTTTAACGAAACTTATCTTTTTCATGCTGTAATAAATAAGTCACGTCTTATAATTTTTTTATTATTCTATAAGGACCGTTAAATTTGTATGCAATTTTCCCTTGAAACTTTTTATCAGCGTCGGACAGACTATATGCTTTTAGGAAAACACGTTGTCCTACTTCAAATGTCACAGCCGTATGTCTCTTGTCATAGTATCGTTTTGATGCGATGGCGGCCTTTTGGATGTTACTGATTGCGATTTCCGATATTTTCGCAGTAGGTTGTTCATTAGTGTCGTACTGGATATCCCATTCCAAATTAATGGAGTGTTGATATGTGTCCCGAGGAGTAATTGGGATGGAGTAAACCCAGTAGAGGAATTTCTTGCTCCGTTTAGCGCGAGTTGCAAGTAGTTCAGTTCGAACTACCATTTAGACTGATTTTCTCCATAAAAGGCTGTTAGAGCTGCTTTAATGTCACGCAAAATTCTTTCTGCTTTACTGGGATTTTGAGTAGAATGGAACCAGTTACTGCGGTATCATGCCGGGCATCATCAAAAATGTAAATACTTCCTTGAATGAAACACGGTCGCATTATCCGACACAATGCTTCTCCAAAATCCGAAGGTGCCGAAGACTTTGTCGCGTAACTTTAAAATGATTGTCTCGGCGGTGGGCTTTCGTAACGGGGTCAGGATGGAAAATCGGGTAAAATCGTTTATCGCTTCTAATATACATATATGGATACCCATTGCTATTCGGCAGCGGGCCTGCCAGATCTATGAAAAGGCGTTCCCCTGGCTATTTTGAACCATAGCTAGACATTTTTCCGTGTTGCAATGTTTGGTGTGTTGACATTTGTACGTGCGCAACTCATACAATTGTTGACATATTTTACGACGAATGGTTTTAGCCCTTTAAAATAGGAGATCTCTCTTATTTTATTTATGGTGCGTGAAAGTCCACCGTGTGCTCCTAAATTGGAAGTATGAAAATATTTGAGCACCATTGCTTTTAAAGATTCCCGTATCACAATTCTAAATTTATTTTTATTAACTTTATAGTACAAAGTGTCATTCTTTAATGTAATGTGGCCCTGGTTAATACCGTTTTTCAACTGAATAATTAAGTTTTTTAATTCCGGGTCTTCATTCTGCCCTATTATTATATTTTTAAAGACTTCAGGGATTGTCTTAAGAATAAAAACGTTTGTTTCGTTTTTGCCTTCAACTGGGTTTCTAGAACAGTACATTATTCGCAAGGCAAATCGCTCATGCCTCCCGTTTTTATTTTGCATATTAATAATGCTGGGCCCTCTCTAAGAGTGACATCGTACACGATTTTGGAGGTACACCCCAACTTCGAAGTCAATACATGAGGATATGTTTTTTGTAAATATTCGTCTAAGTTCTCTTCTTATAGTCTACACTTGTCACTTTTACGGTCGTGGTGAATTTTTTTGTAATTCTGGGGGTAATATCTCTTTTTAATTTCATGAGTTTTATAACCATTTGAGTTGAACCTATACCGATTCTGAAATTATTTGCTTTAAACGAGACTTCCAACTCTTCGACTTTCAATATTAAGCCTTCCAGGTCTTCCAAACACCGAGATCGATCTGTAAACTGGAATCTCGCGCGGGTACCTAAGTTTACCCCAGAAAGTAAGATATCGAATAATTCTGAATCTGAATAATTTCACTAAATTCTTGCAAATTTTTTCACGTCGTGGACATAAGATGGAAATGATTCATTAACTCTGTATCCTGAGTATTTTCTTAGATATATGGTTGGTGTATAAGGTCTTCAGTTTCATAGAACGATTAGCTAGAACGTTTAGATTGAAAGTTGCCTTAAGGTGGCCATTCGCGATCACTCCAAATGGAACCGCGCCACTAAATAAGACGTTTCATCCATCCTTAAATAATTCCTCCAATCAGCGGGTTCAAGGGAAAGATCTTTCATCAAATTGATATGGGTATTACGGCTTCTGTTCAGGAGCCACTTCTTACACCATTTTATCTTCGATTTTTTGCTTTTAATATGTAAATAAACAGAAGAGTAGCACAGATCGTCATCCATTTTGAGAATTTCAATTTCACTGGTTGACGTTCGGAGCGATTGGCTGTGGAGCGGTCGTGAATGCCCCCTCAAATTTCAGGCACTCCAAATGGAGCTGTACGGCTTGGCTCTACAACTCTACTCTACAATCATTATTATTAATTATTATTATTTTATTTTTGAAATTAAGAAAGGTTCATTTGAAATTTAAAAAGGTTAATTTCAAGTTAAAAGGGTTAATTTGAAATTAAAAAGGGTAATTTGAAATTTAAAAGGGTTAAAGTTAAATTTAAAAAAGGTTAATTTGAAGTTAAAAAGGATTAATTTGAAATTAAGAAAATTTTATTTACAATTTAAAAAAGGTTAATTTGAAGTTAAAAACGTTAATTTGATGTTGAAAAGGGCTGATTTGAAATTAAAAAGGGGTTAATTTGAAATTTAAAAAAAAGGTTAATTTGAAGATAGAAAGGGTTAATTTGAAATTTTAAAAAGGTTAATTTGAAATTAAGAAAGGTTCATTTGAAATTCAAAAAGGGTTAATTTGAAGTTAAAACGGTTCATTGCAAATTTTAAATAAGGTTCATTTCAAGTCAAAAACGTTAATTTTACGTTATGATTTAGTTAAAAAAAGGGTTATTTTCGTATTCAAAAAAGATTAATTCCAAATTATGAAAAGTTAATTTGAAATTTAAAAAAAGGTTAATTTGTAGGAAGAAAGTATCTCCTCGCCCCCTACTAGTAGCACCATTTTTCATAGTGATATTTTCTTAACAAAAACGGCTTTACAAAAAAATTGTAAGATTTAAATTTGTAGAAAAACTGAAACCCAACGTTTTGAGTACCTACTATTATTACTACCCTACTGCTTGAGTACTACGATGCGCGCCACCCTCAAATTTACGCTCTGCCCAGACCACAAGCACCAATTTTCGACTGGCAGCATTCTCCCGTTCAGTACGATCTCCTGAGCAACAATCAAAAAATAACTCGGTGCATTTATACTCAGCCCTAGTCTATACACAAATAATCAAAAAGCAATAAAGGATTTGGATTTAATAAATTTTTGCCATGTACAAATATTTACAAATTTAATTCAAAAGTTGCAAAGGAGTTGGTGAAATTTTAGTAATTTGAAAACGAGATTAATGGCTTTAAGTTAATTAATTAGCATTTAAGTGCAGTATAGCTTCCCCTGAATTGTAATCGTTTCTTTTATCCCTATCAATGTTTTGTTCTGAATCCACAAATTCCACAAATATCGTTCA